CAGTCACACCCTGTCTGCACTAAAACAAGATCTATCTATGGCAATGGGACAGAGGCGAGCCTAGAGCGCTGTACCAGAGGCGTGCTTGACGCTGGGCGCTGGGCACACAGGCGGAGGTGCTGATGTTGTGCAATAGCAGCGCTCAGCATCCAAGAGGGAACGCCCTCAAGGCCGATACCATGTCAAAACACAGTGGAAGCATAGTGTGGACAGTCATGGCTCATATAGAGGTAGCTTGGAGGCCGTCCTGAACATGACAGTCTCGAGAGTGTCAAAACATAGCGGAAGTGTCGTGTGGACAATGTGGCTCTGATATATCGTTGCCTTCGTCAACTTTAGCCAACGTGGTTCTATGAGGTGGCAACTCCTCATGTCATGAGAAAGCGTACTAAGAGTCATAGTTTCCAGCGTTGGAGAGCTTTCACAGCAGTTGACCGCGAAGAACACGGGGTCTTCCATCTCTTTGCCGTGAGGAGCTCTGGAATCTCACTCCTTGGCAACCCAATCACCTGCTTTGCAAACGAGAAGCCTTCCATGGCGTTGATAGTGAGAAGTTGTGAACAAAGTCTAATCTTCCACCGCATGAAAAATCGGCGGGAGCTAAATCTCCAGCTCTGCTCGTTGTCCAGGGGAGTTTCCACAACCACCTGCTCAAGTGACGGGGATTTGCCGCAGCTTATATCGAACTACGAAATGCCATGCCCTGGTTTTATCCAGGACTTGGTGATTGAAGTTCACAGAGACGACGTTCATGATCAGGAGAGGACATTGCGTTTCATGGAGCAGCCTCTCTCTCAGCCTCCTCCAATCCCTCAGCTCCTCCCAGCAGATCGATCATGCAGCCGCTCAAAGTGATGCTGTTTGGCCGCTCCCCGGCTTGCTTGAGCTCGTTGAAGAGCTTGAGCCCTTCCTGGCGTTGCCGTGCTGCACGTAGGCGGAGATCATCGTGTTTCAGCACAGGCCATTGAACGTGGATCTCGCGAGGCTGAGAGTTTCTGTAAGTGGTCACGACCACGATCACGCTCACGCGTTCCACTGGCAAGGATCCGAGAGTGGAGGCTTCTAGCCATGGCCAAACTTGAGGACGTCTCGAAGGCGCTCGTGTTTTTCGAGATCGAGCTCCCAAAAGACTCCCTGTGCTGTCGCCCGCATAAGCCTCCAGCGCATAAGCCGAGACCACCATTTCTGACGAAGAAATCAAGCTCCATTCCCTCGGTTTCGGGAGTGAAGAATTTTACGGCAGATTCTATCCCCGAGACCGGCGCAGGCTTCCAGAAAGACAATAAATGTCACGCCATTTGGCTTGACTCCCTCCAAATCCATGGAGGAACTCGAGAGCGTCTCTGTAATGCCCATTCCGGGCAAATTCTGGGAACATAGCAGTCAAGGAGACAGCATTCCTCTCTTTGATCCAGCCAAAAGCCGCGGTGGCCCGATCCATTATCTGGAGCTTCCCGTGCATGTCAACAATAACGGTACCATCAGAAACATCTGTCTCGAAGATCCTCGCCTTGATTTCCACGTCCCGCGGTGAAGGGCAAAGAGACAACTTTATATTGTTTCAAACCTGTGGAAAACTAAGCTTTCTCATCGCGTGACTTGTGAGCCCAACATATGCTACCACATCACCTTCCTCCTTCCCTGGGAAATAGTATAGCCTGCTATCCTCAGAAGGACGAACCAGCGTCATTCCAACCGGCTTTCCAAATCCAAAGTCCTCGAAGTAGAACGAACTACCAAGTAATCATGAGGTCTCTGTTGTTCAAACTGCTGAGAATCGCATCTTGATACTCCTGGTACTCACGCGGGGAGAGGCTTTCATTCTGCTTAAGAAAATCAGTGTCAATATCAAGACGAGCATGTTGAAAAAACCACTCACCTTTACCCCAGGTAACAAGGAGAAACTTTCAAGCTTGCAATATGGGCTCTTCAGCAGCTGGCCCACGAGCTGCGCGAAAGATAAATCCAAATGTCAGGAACCAGAGCTTGGACTTGGCATTGTTGTTTATGCAATCTGCCAGCAGGGAGATCTCCTCATGGCTAAACTCCAAGGCCTTCTATTGATCCGCAGATTTGGCTGAGTAGCGCCTGATCATTTGGGATGTTGTCCAGCGTTAGCTTCCGTAGACTTGTTCGAGGCTGGAAGAGGGCAGGGGTCAAGTATTCATTCTTAGTGAGGGACAGCTCCCAGATCTTGCAGGCTGGATCTTGCAGCAGCTTCTCCAGGTTGGGCGAGCAAGGGCAATTATAAAGCTCCAGACGTTCTAAATACTTTCGAAGTGTTGATTGATCCTGCTAAAGCATTTAAATCTACGTCACAGTGATATAGAAAAAGCGTCTTGAGCTTGATTGGCATCCGCTTGTGCTTGGCAGCAGCAATAGCATCATCCAAGCTGAGAATCACTTCATGATCCAATCTGCGACTCAGCCACGCGCCAAATTTTTCTCCAGAAAAGGCCAAGGCTGCTTAGCTTGGACACAGCTGCTTCTAGAAACCCCTCCACTTTGTGGTAGCCATTGCTACACAGGATTACGTGCTCCAGAGTGTTGTCCACCTGCAGCAGCAGCTCGCGCAAGCCTTTGATGTTTTCTGAAGCGAATTTTGCTGCTCTATATCTCTGTTCCTTCAGCTCCACAGTCAACACCTCATGGTTGCACATCTCCAAGCGAATGCTTGGCAAATCCTCGTAATCATCTATCCGGGCCTGCTTTGGCTCCCCCATAACTTCCAATGGAATACCCTCAGAAATTACAACAAATGTCGTTGATGAATCAACATCCAAATGACAACTTGGAAGTGGCTAGCAAAGATGAGTCAGAGGCTTGGCATGTTGCTTGGCTTTAAACATGAAATCAGATGCCAACTCTGACCTACGGTGCACGTTGTACAAAGTGGCATCAATCATGCCAAATCTTTTTCTTTTTCTTTTGCTTTTGCTTTGTAAAGGTAATTGTTTTTGTAGGCAATTAGCAAAGCACACGCGTTAGACAAGCTGTACAAGTTTCGTATGTCGTCCGATGGTTGAGCACAGGCCAGGTAAGAATGCCAAGCAGCAGCTCGTTCTCTCACTCGGAGCGTCTCCGAGTCTAGAATTTTACAATAACAACGATTTAATTACATGCTCTCAAATTCTCGATCTTGAATGGATTTTAGTCCGCAAAAATGCGCCTCCTATATATTTACATGGATAAAATGATTTAGGGGAAACAGAGTATGTCATTTAACTAGAAAACTAACAAGATCTTCCAAGAAAGAAGAAAAATAATAAGAAAGAAGACCCACAGGGATAGTCGAATGTTATCACATCCACGGCGTTGGTCGCTGTTGCCAACAGGTTCTTCCATCTTGCCAGAAGAAAGAAAAAAGAAAAGAAAAGAAAAGAGGATTAAAGCAAGATCCGGAGAGACAAACCTGATCATGCAGTCGGATGAGGATGGAACCCCAGCGCCGTGCGGCGGCACCGGATTCAGGCGCGGTCGCTTTGTTTGGATGGTTTCGAGCTCATCCACAGCGGGCTAGACAGCTTTTTGGTGGAGGGATTTGCTTAGAGTTTTTTTGCGGTACGGGGGACTGGCTTTCATGGCAGCGACTTGGGAGGTACATTTCCTGGAAGAGAACACGTCAATGTTATTGACTTGATTCTCTCGTGGTTTTCTTTCTTTTTTTTCGGTTTAGAACATCCGCGACGAAGAACGGGGATACGCAAAACAAAGCAAAGAGAGTATATTCGTTTCACGTGAAATCATCGAGTGTGGTACTATGCCGTAGGAGAAACGAAAAGATCTTTCTGGAAATTCTTTAGACCATATCCATTAAAGGGCTTTTTTTTATATTGCTCGAGGTTTAGAGGGTTTCTAGGGTTTAGTGATGGCTCACCCGATGGAAGAAAACGTTTTAAGTACCTTCAAATCCTCGTCGTCGATAGACGAGAACTTTCTTTCCCAAAGAATCGAGAAATAATGTTTTCTCTGTGTTTTAGGGCTCGTGGCTCTGGAGTGGAGCGAATGGCGCTCGCCGGTAAGCTCCAAATGCGCTAGCTCTCATGCTCCCGCCCGAGCGAGCTAATGGACTCAGGGCCTACATTGCCACGGATTCCAGGGACGTAGAGGGCGACGATGGGGAAGTACTCTCCCATTGTCTGGGACCTTGACGACGGCAGGAAATCTGATGCGGCGTCGCCCTTGTCTAGCTTCTCCGAGGCGGCTGCTGCTGGAGAGGATGAAACACAGCCGATTGACACCGATGTGCTTTGCAGCGGTGGTGGTGGTGGTGCTCAGGACAATTCCGGGAGCCGAGATGAGGAGCAGCGGTACGAGCAGGAACTGAACGAGAAAGAGCTTGTGGAACTTAGCAACGACGATGGTAGTGCTCCAGACGCGCTCGGGGTCGGACCCCCCGCAGCTACGTAGTCTTGATATGCTGCAGAGTGGAGAGATTGTGGCGCTCAAGAGAGTGAAGATGGTCCACGAGAGAGAAGGATTCCCCATGACTTCTCTACGGGAAATCAACGTTCTTCTCTCGTTTCACCATCCATTGATCGTGGATGTCAAGGAAGTGGTGGTTGTGACATTCTTCTCGAGTTTAAGCGTGCAAAGCTGGACACCCTTCCGAGGTACGCAAAAAGACAGACTAGTTGTTGCCAGTGTTGATGTTTCTCCATGGCAGATGGAGTGGTGGAAGAAGCTTGAAACTGGATGGTTCAGATCACGCTCCTGCTATTCTGCAGCTTAAGCATTACCTTCCATTCCACCACATGAAGCTCCACAACTGGCTGCTCTATTTATGCCTGAGCTTTGCGGTCGTCAGCAAAGTATCAGTGAGTAACTTCTTATAGCGAAGGACGTTTCTGACAACCCCTCGTGCTGACTGGTGTAGTTTCCATTTTCAGAAAGCTCAACGAGAGAACAACAGCTAACACCGAGCCTGATACAAGCCAAAATGTTTCCAAGCCCGCTTTTACACAGGAAACGGGCTGCAGGAAATTACAGAGGCTGTCACAAAGCAGATTGACAGGGTTTTGCTATCAAAGGCATGAATCTTCTGACAAGATGAGCTGCACAGAGGTCGCAGTGCATGGGCAGAGCGAAATCTTCCATTGTGCAAGGGACACGGTGAGCCTTGTGTCGTGAGAACAGTTACGAAGGCTGGTCCCAATCTTGGCCGTGGCTTCTACGTCTGTGCTAAAGCAAAGGTAGCCTTGAAAGATTCTGCATATTTTATTCGTTGTTTGCAACACGGCCCAGCTTCCAATCCTGAAGCAAGCTTTGCTGCTTAGGTGAGAGCGTTTTAACACAGGTACTTCTGTTTGTGAATGTTTTTGTTTCCAGACAATCATATCTAAGATCACTCCTAAGAAGGAAAGTTCCTTTAAGTCTACTTGATGAGTTTCCTGGGCTCGCTCACAAGCTCGGGATCCGAGACTTGGAACGCCTTGGTAATTACATCGTCGCTCACGTCCGCCCTGGAAGCAAAGACCGCCTTTGCAACCTCGAAGTCCCCGGATTCTGGCTGTTAAACGTGGCGATCCCCACAGCTTCCTCCTTCCCAACGTTGAGCTGGAAGTGGACGACACGAGGAAACATGACCCAACACGAACATGTTCCCGGCCTGGATCACCCCTCTGGACAAAGAGGAGCTCCGTACGCATAAGGATCCTCGTCTGATCCTGGAGCACAGGCCAGGAGGCTGGAGGAGAAGAATGGCCAAACAGCAGCACACTGAGAAAGCTCTTTCCCTAGTCTAGAATTTTCAATGAGAATTTTTTACTTACATGGTGCGCTCATGCGTGCCCAGGGGCTGAATCGTAGGACTCCTGCGTTGCACCGTTGCTTTGTGGAAACTTTGGAGTGTCCGATGGTGTGGAGAGAGGTCTTAAGGTTTGATCTCTAAGTTCCCTGGACAGCAGATGAGCTTTCGACATACAATATATTAAGTGGATAACCGCTGCTTTCTTTTATTTTTTTTCAATTCCTTCACTTCACCGCTTCTTCATTTTAGTAGTTTTACTAAGCCTGTGCCCTTCTTCTTCAATAATAGTGATCTTCACAAACCCAGCCACTTGGACTTTTGATGAGTCCAAAGCACTTCTTCATCATCAAGATTCGGTCCTCACCATATCGTTCAGGTGAATTCTTTTTCACATACTCAAACAACTCCACAATGTCATCTTCTGATGCAGGTTGCAACCTGTTATTGAGATCACCTTCAAAGCAAGAGTCGATTGTAGCCTTCAAGCCATTTGCACTAAGCTCAATCAAGGTGCTGACCAGCTCCCCTCCCTCAGGCAATGCCACTTTACCAAGCTTTGCAAGGGTGAAACACATTGTGATGGCTGGGACGAAGATGTTGCTATACTTTTTGAACCATTGATTTGGGATAGTGATTGGTACTCCTGGGTACTTCTTCAAATCAACTGGGTGACAGCCGCTTGGATGCTCACATAAGTAGCTAATATTTGCTCGTTTCCCAATCAGTTGAATATTTTAGCGACAGATTTGACTCCATTGTAAGGTGTGGGAGTTTTGGACACTCCAGCTTAATGGATTCCAACAGTGATGAGCAGCTCTTGATCAATACGTTTTCTGTGTCCTTCAGGCCCTTTTGAAGCTTCTGTAAAGATTTTTTGATATCTGTTATGGAGACCTTAAAGTCCTCCATATATATCTGCATCCCCTGCATTTGATGCTTGTGTAATTGATAGCAAAAGTTGGCAAGGTTACTCATGTCATCACTTTCAAACTTTGGGATCTCGACCTGCACAAGCTGTTGCTGCTGGCTTTGATACACTGGCACTATGTGCTGGTTGTATTCTGTGACAACCTCTTCAACAGAACGCTTATGTGGCTGAATGATCTCGTTGACTTCACTTGGCATTAAGAGTTCCAAGGCACTTGTGGAGTCACCAAAACCCCAGGTAAAGTGATAATCAAAGCCCTCCCTAGCTACCATCTGTTTAACCTCTTGCAATGCCCAAGAGCTCTTGTTGTTTTCATCGCATGACCTCTGTTGTCCTGATGCTTTTCCAAATTGTCTTACCTTCCCTGGATTCAGAACATGCTCTTCAAGCTTGATGAAAGGACAGGCCCTGTTAGTTTCCTTGACTACACAATCCGTATCTCATTCATGAACTGCTCCCCTTTGAGTCCCCTCTTTTCCTCCTTGGGCACCATCAACATAATATCCACCCATTGCCGATCTGTCCAATGCTTATAATCCCCACCAATAGTCACCAGAACTTGAATGAGATCCTCTTGGAAGGAAACCCAACCAGCACCAAGCTTACTTCCATGGCCCCATCTGTCACACATCTCCTTCACCTTGGCTTGAATAACTGCAAAAACTCCTGCTTGCAACCAACAAACATACAGACATCAATGTTTAATCTCAATCCCAGCAGTCAAGAGCATAATTACCTGATGGGAGAAGAACGAAGCCCTTGATAGTGTCGTCTGCTTGCAATCTCCGACCCCAACAATCATATGTTTGCTCCCTTTCAATCCACCCAGTGAACTCATCACGCAATAATGCAGGCACAATGAGGTGTTCTGGCCGATTTCGTGGCTCTGACCACCTTATGTCCCAGCTCCTCATGCCATCAGGAATCAAAACCCCCATCTCACAGAGCAGCTTGAGCAAGAAATAGATGTTGCCCTCTGAAGTCTCTCCATGTGTTCTGAGAGCTTCTACTGCTTCCTCAGTAGACCACTTGGGTTCCCCCCACTTCATCGTATCGTTTCTGTCTTGCTTAGGAATGAAAATTCCTAACACTGTATGGAGAAACCATGGCATGTCTAGAACAGCATTGTTGACAATCAATGCAGCTTCCTTGTCGTTTGGATCCGTGTTTTGATATGTGTCATCTGCCCCAAAGTAGACAGCTTCTCCCATGTCATGTAGGCAGATGAATGTGTATTGTGCAGCAAGTGCCTCATCTTCTTTCTCCCCCTGGAACCAAGCCTTCGACATCTCATGTAGGTCGACCACCCTCTGCTGGACAATTGTTTGTGCCCGTGTGTGGATATGATACCATGGTGAGGATGAAGCCCGCCCTCTGATAACCTCATCACAAGTCCAGGGAATCACGGGAACCTCATTTATCATTTCGCCCACTGCTATCGCCAGCCTGGGCTTCAGTTCCTCCTGTACCTGACGAGCATTCAACCCATTTAACTCGAAATAGTGATCACCACGTTGGCCCTGAACAAAGTCTAGCCTGTCCTTATACTTGAGTAACAGTGACGTCGCAGCTGCTCGAGCTTCTACCAAGAAACGGTCATGACGAACAAAGATGTTGAGTACTAAGAAAATGGTGGGTTTCCTAGCTGGTGCTGCAGTTTGGTGGGCCGCTATGAAGCGAAGCCAGTATTGGAGCTCTGTTTTCATCTTACCTCCACGACCTCCAACCTTGCACACCACCATGAAGAGATCTTTGTCGCTGCCCCTGAGGAAATAGTGATGAAAAGCGTGGTAGACCTCCTGGCCTCCCAGATCGTAAATCAGGAGTTTCTTCCTCTCTCCAAATCTGAGAGTCCTCCTCTCAATTCCCACTGTTGATGCATGATCCTGACATGGCGGCTTCACACACTGCCAGAGGGCTGCATAGGGGCGGACCAGATTGGTGGAGATGGTGGTCTTGCCCGAGGCAGTGTGGCCGCACATGAACAGCTTGGCAGTTGATGGTGTGACTGGAGGGTTTTCTAGAGCGCTTTGTGCAAGAACGGGGCTCTTCTGAAATAGAGCATTCCGGTACTTCACCTTCAACCATCTGTCCTCCAACAGTATGGAAGCCCATTCCCCGCCAATGCGCAGTCTCTGGATCCGGCTGCTGTAGTTGGCCTCCAAATTGCTGAGAATCGCATCTTGATGACTAGGTGAGGAGAGGCTTTCCTTCTGCTTAAGAAAATCGGTGTCAATATCAATGTTGAAACAACAACTCACCCCAGGTAACAAGGAGAGACTTTCAAGCTTGCAATATGGGCTCTTCAGCAGCTGGCCCACGAGCTGCACGATAGATAAAGAGAAATGGAATGATGTGAACTCCAGGAACCAGAGCTTGGACTTGGCATTGTTGTTTATGCAATCTTCCAGCAGGGAGATCTGCGCAGGGTTGGGCTCATTTGAAATTCCAAGGCCCTCTATTGATCCACAGATTTGGCTGAGTAGCGCCTGATCATTTGGGATGTCGACCAGCGTAAGCTTCTGTAGACTTGTTCGAGGCTGGAAGAGGGCAGGGGTCAAGTATTCATTCTTATCCAGGGACAGCTCCCAGATCTTGCAGGCTGGATCTTGCAGCAGCTTCTCCAGGTTGGGCGAGCAATGGCAATTATAAAGCTCCAGACGTTCTAAATACTTTGGAAGTGTTGATCCTGCTAAAGCATCTAAATCTACGTCACAGTAACATAGAAGAAGCGTCTTGAGCTTGATTGGCATCCCCTTGTGCTTGACAGCAGCAATAGCTTCATCCAAGCTGCGAAACACCCCCTCGCGAAATTTGTCTCCATAAATGGCAAGGCTGCTCAGCTTGGACACAGCTGCTTCTAGAAACCCCCCCACTTTGTGGTAGCCCTTCTCCCTCATGATTACGTGCTCTAGACTGTTGTCCTCCTGCAGCAGCAGCTCGCGCAACCCTTTGAAGTCTCTTAAATTGAATTTTGCTGCTCTGTATCTCTGTTCCTTCAGCTCCCTCACACTCGACACCCCATGGCTCCACATCTCAGAGAAAATGCTTCTCAAATCCTTGTAGTCATCTATCCGGGCCTGCTTTGGCTCCCCCATAACTTCCAATGGAATACCCTCAGAAATTACAACAAATGTCGTTGATGAATCAACATCCAAATGACAATTTGGAAGTGGTTAGCAAAGATGAGTCAGTGGCTTGGCATGCTGCTTGACTTTAAACATGAAATCAGATGCCAACTCTGATAGCAACGCAACCCTACGGTGCACGTCGTACAAAGTGGCATCAATCATGCCAAATGTTTTTTTTTAAAATTTTGCTTTAAAGGTAATTGTTTTTGTAGCGTTAGACAAGCTACGAGTTTCGTATGTCGTCCGATGCTTGAGCACAGGCCAGGTAGCTTGCGAGGAGAAGAATGCCAAGCAGCAGCTCGTTCTCTCACTCGGAGCGTCTCCGAGTCTAGAATTTTACAATAACAACGATTTAGTTACATGCTCTCAAATTCTCGATCTTGAATGGATTTTAGTTCCAAAAAATGCGCTTCCTATATAATTACATGTAACTAGAAAGCTCACAAGATCTTCCAAGAAAGAAGACCCACAGGGATATCACATCCACGGCGTTGGGTCGCCGTTGCCAACAGGCTCTTCCATCTTGCCGGAAGAAATAAAAAAAGAAAAGAAAAGAGGATTAAACCAAGATTCGGAGAGACAAACTTGATCATGCAGCCGGATGAGGATGGAGCCCCAGCACCGTGCGCGAAAACGTGCAGCGGCACCGGATTCAGGCACGGTCGCTTTGTTTGGATGGTTTCGAGCTCATCCACAGCGGGCTAGACAGCTTTTTGGTGGAGGGATTTGTTTAGAGTTCTTCTGTGGGACGGGGGACTGGCTTTCATGGCAGCGACGTGGGAGGTACATTTCTTGGAAGTGCTGGCTTGTAACACGTCAATGTTATTGAGTTGATTCTCTTGTGGTTTTCTTGCTTTTTTTTCGGTATAGAACATCCGCGACGAAGAACGGGGATACGCAAAACAAAGAAGCAAAGAAAAGCGAGTATATTCGTTTCACGTGAAATCATCAAGTGTGGTACTAAGAAACGAAAAGAT